TTTTTTTTTTTTTTTTTTTTTTTTTTTTTTTTTGCGACAATGTGTACATTCCACTACTACGACAGAAAATAAGACTGATTCTTCTATTGGTTCTGGTTGCTTTTCCCCATCCAGCAGCGTCACTTTTCTGTACATTGACTAAGTAAGATATTTTTGACGGTACCAAATCCCGCAGTGATTGTTCAGATCTTTGTACCAATTGGCAAAAAAGAAGAAAAGCAGATAAGAACACATTCCACTACAATTTTTCTAAACCTTACCAAGAAAGTTGGGAGAGTCATCTAATTACTAAAAACTGCTATAAAACTATTTACTTTGAAGCATCCCTTACAAATCAACGGTTGAAAAAAACCCCGTAAAGTTTATCAATCCTCTTCTTTTGGAGATCCAGAGAATGAAAAGACGATTGAACGCATAACCGATTTATGGGTGATAAATAACGAGTGAAATGGTCGCACAGGCAATAAGCTTTGATTTTGTTAATGCTGCTGCAGTACCGAGTAGCAAGGGAAGGAAAGGAAAGGTAAGCAACGCTTAGAAATGACAGAACTCTGCTTAAAGATTAAAGTCAAAGAATGTTAGAATTATACGGATTTGACTTGTTGATGGGTAAAAATTGCGCCATGGTCTAGCAGTCGCTGAAAAAGTTTGTAAAATCAACACAAGAAATAAGCACTGATTAATAAAAATCCAAAAAATCCATCTTCTCGAGGTTGTGTACGGAAGCAAAAAAATGAACGGAGAAGAAAAGTGAAAAATAATGTTTCGCCTTTTTGGAAACAAAGACTTTAAAATAACATTTTTGCATTAAATGTTGGGAAGCACTTTAATCATTATACAAATATTATTTGTTTTCTTTCACACTTCATTTTTTTCAAGCAGTTTTCTTTTTGGCAAAATAGGCACAATTTTAGTTTTCTGTTCAGAAATCATAATTGCAAAAAATGAGTTTAAGAGTTGATTTCTGCACTTTCTTTAATACCCCATCATCCAACGTATCTATTCGGTGATTCAACAATGTAAGCAAAGCTTTTAATACAAATTTGATGTCTCTCCCTATCAGCGGCTGTTTTGAACACGAAGTTTTTTTGAAAAAATTTGTGCCATTATAGAGTCAAGCGCGGGTTTTCCTCAAAAACTCCTAGTAGTTCAATAGCATTACAATTTACCAAACAAATGTTATACTGTTACAAGAAGTTAGCATCAGAAAATTGGAAAAGCCCCTCCTCAGGCTTAACTCAGACCCAGTACTTTTGAGAAAAGTAATGGATGCGTAGTATTTGCTGCCATCATGCATGACTGACTTGTGCGTCTATGAATGTTTCAAAAACAGCCATTATTGCTATTCCTATCAAAAATTTCAAAATATGCTGCGAAACGCATATTGATACCTGGAAAGCAATAATATTCTATTTTTTTTAAGGCTGCGGTATTCTGTATCAAAAAACACACATTTCAGCCAAAAAGAAGGCCAGTACGGCCATTTTTCTTTTATCTAGAGGAAGAAGAGTGCTGCGTCTCTGGTACTCAAGCATTTGAAGTAGTTGAAAAAAAAAGGTGTGGAGGGAAGACGAGGAAGGAGAAGGTTAATTAAAAAAACCTTTGTCTTCAGGGATATGGTAGGTTTTTCTCTGTCTCTCTTCCATTTCGCGTCAGGAAAACTAGCAAAATAAATAGTCTTTTAACAATGAGGGACGATGCTTACGGTTATAACCAAAAAATCTGATAAATTTTAGAACCTTGAAAGCATTTCAAGCTGCTAATAACAGATCAATGAGCCAAAACTGGGCACGCATGTATACAAATAACCAAACCGTAAAAACTCAACTTTGCTGCTATTGAGTGTGCTTATTCTTTGAACAAGTATGAAGATGGGATAGTTGTGGAATCCGCCCGACAATTTAACCCTTTAAACATCTTCGCAGAAGGAGGGTAAGGAAAGGGTGCCAAGGAATCTGACCCAACTGATGACTCAGCTTCTTCAGTTTAAACATCCGAAGTGGAAAGACGGAAGCAGAGTTCTGCAGGAGGAAAATCGTAAATATTTTCAAATCTTTACCACTTTACCTTATTTTAACGCTATCAATCGTCAGCACTGCTGTATTATTATCTATAGGAAAAACTTCACAACACAGCAATTTTGAACAACTTCAGAAATGTTTTACTACGAGCTCACTTGACTCTTGTCACCACATTTTCAGATTCTTCAAAATATCCTCAAGTTTCTAAGAATATTGCAAGAACCGGCAGAACTTTAACCCCCGCTTCACAAAATCTAAAAAGTGTGAAGAAGGTATCCTTTTATCCACTAGTAGTCTTCGATGTCTACTTGAAAAACATATTCTTTGCTTTTTAGTCGCACCAATAATTTCTCTTTAAGAGCCTCCACAAGAGGAGGGAAGGAA